TGTGCAGGTTAGGATATGGGACCCCAGTCTCCGTGGTTCTGAACTTAGAGCAACACTCAAAGGGCATTCTAGGTGCTAAGCTTTTTCTTCTTCTTTTTTATATGCTATGATATAAGTTCCATGCTTCAGTACCTTACTAGTTAAGCTAATGGGTGAAGTTTGTTAATACTCTCCCCCCATTTTCTTGTCCCACTTCCATTTCTTTTTGTCCAGAATTATGTCTATTTTCGTTTCTTGAATAATACCAACTTTTTACCTTTCCATCCTACCCTTTTCTGATTTGACATCATGACATTTTACCTATTTGCACAAGTTTATAAAGGTTATCCTCCTTATATAGGTATAACCAATCTGGAAAGGTTTTAAATTCTTTGCAGGACTGTGAGGGCAATTAGCTCTGATAGAGGGAAAGTTGTATCAGGATCTGATGACCAGACTGTTCTTGTCTGGGATAAGCGGACAACTCAGCTACTTGAAGAATTGAAGGGCCATGAGGCACAGGTTTTTATTCAGCTAACATGCGATAATGGGTCTTACATTAGTTCTAAAAATTTGGTCTTTTTCTCCAATATCTTGCCAGCTAAAACATAGCTCCTCTCATTGTTTGCGATATCTTGAACTACATTCTAGTGACTAGTCATGGCCATGAATCATGTAGGTCAGCTGTGTGCGCATGTTGTCAGGTGAACGAGTTCTTACAGCTGCTCATGATGGAACTGTAAAGATGTGGGATGTGAGAACCGACACCTGTGTGGCTACTGTGGGTCGTTATCCAGGTGCTGTTCTCTGTATGGAATATGATGATTCAACAGGAATCTTGGCTGCTGCAGGAAGAGATATGTATGTTGCTTAAGATTTTGATGTAATTTTAAGATTTGTTCTTTTCCGAATCATGCTATGAATTTTTTGTTCCATTTACTCAGTTACAATATCTATACTTTCTTTACAAACAAAACTTGATGTGGCTAACTTCTATTTGAAGGGTTGCGAACATTTGGGACATTCGTGCAGGAAGGCAGATGCACAAGCTAGTAGGTCACACTAAATGGATTAGGTAAGCTAAGATTTAGCAATATTTCATGTTTCCACTTAAGTATCACATTGATGGTTATTGCATAAAAAATTGTTGAAACAGGTCAATTAGAATGGTTGGTGATGTGGTGATTACTGGCAGTGATGATTGGACTGCACGGATGTGGTCTGTTTCTCGAGGGACATGTGATGCTGTTCTAGCCTCCCATGCCGGTACCATTCTATGTGTGGAGCACTCTATGCAGGATAAAGGGATAATAACAGGTAACTCATTAATGGCCCACTTTTTGATCTGTCTTTGGAAAGATTTTTTTTCAAGATTTATTATTTTGTGCAAAACCTCAGTTGTAAAGTTCATAAGCTTCACTCTAAAGTGGGATGATAAAATTTCAGGTTCAACTGATGGCCTTCTCCGGTTCTGGGAATGCGATGATGGTAGGGTTACATGATTTATATGCACATGATATTTTCTTCGTATTTCTATTATGAAAGTATGCATCCTGAACGTTTTAATGAACAAATTGAGAAGTGCCAATGGCAACAACTTGTAAGCCAAACCAAACCAAACAGTTCAATCTAGTTTTGACCAAAATAAGTCTTTTAAATTCGTGTGCTAAATGTTGTGCATTAATAATGTTCAAATTCAAAAAAAGTGGGGCAGTTGATTTTCTAACATTGCCAATGTGGAAGCTCCTATGGGTTCAAGCTCTAGAACTTCAGGGGTCATTGGGATAGACTCCAGTGGCTGCAAACTCACCCTTCATTTAAAATTATTTCAAATTCATTACATAGTGAGTTGTCGTTATTAGCCATTGATTTGTTCTTTTTGATAGATACTTAAGGTATTTTTTTAGGTACTCTGGCAGTGTAGGAAACTTTCATAGCCTATTAGTTGCCTATTAATGTTTTATTTGGTCTAGAACTCTCAGATAAATTTGCATGTACTATAAGATTTTTAAAGAGGTCTGTGATATAGGTGGTTGTTGGCATGCTTGGGTGGTTACAAAAAGATGGTAGCCTTTCATACTAGGTTGCAAGTTATTGTCTTCTGTTCCAATTAAATAACGGTCTGTTTGCTTGAATGGTTTCAGTTTGTTATTTATTGTTTTTTTTAAGGTCTACAATGGTATTTCAGTGAATTCTGTAATTTATATCCTTCAAGCGGAAGGATTTAGAAAAAAATGTAAAGTGATCTGTATGATCATATGTACTTGCAGACAAAAATAATTAGTGCTTTTATTTGTCATGCTGTATAGGTGGTGCCAGATGTGTGAAGAATGTTACAATTCACACCGGTTCCATATTATCTATAAATGCTGGAGAACACTGGCTAGGAGTAGGGGCAGCCGATAATTCAATGTCTCTCTTTCATCGACCTCAAGAGAGGCTTGGTACCTTATCTGCCACTGGCTCTAAGACCGGTGGATGGCAGTTGTACAGGACTCCACAGAAAACACCTGCTATGGTTTGTAGGCTTACATTTCCAGTTTACCATATAGTTCTTTTATTCACCCATTCGTTTTGCTGGGGGTGCTTTACATGTTTTTATCACAACTCGCTCTTCTTTTATTTTCTAAGAGTAACTTTTATAGATAGCATGGACCGCATGAGGATAAATGTTTGCGGTTTGTATCCAGGTACGATGTATTGCTTCAGATCTTGAAAGGAAAAGGATTTGCAGTGGCGGGCGCAATGGGATGCTTAGGTTGTGGGACGCCACTATTAACATTTAAGTTCTGCATTTGCGCATCTTGTATTTAGTTCCATGAACCTTTGCGGCATAGCTTTTCCAGTTGCATCTGTTATCAGCCGCCAAAGCAGCTTGCATCCGTGTCACAGCTCTTGCAACACCCCCAAGTGGTCTTTGAGGTGTACACACTTTTTAGTCCAAAGAATTTGCTACCTTATATTATGAAGTGGTCAAGATTTACTTGGATTTGTGTTTTTTTCTCTTTTCCCACTAAATCTATCTGTTCTTTAGATTTTTTTTAGCAAGCATAACCTCAAACATTTACGATCATGAGAGTTCCAATTGAACATTGTGAACTTAATTTTCAATTAATCAAATCCTTTACCGTGTTTTCTATTTACTTTTCCAACAGAATAAATTAAAATATACTACCTCGTCCCGTTCAAAGTTTCCCATTGCAAAATGGTACGTTTATTTATTAAACATGAAAATTCGAGTATATTTTGAGAAATAACTCCGATGATTATATAATATAATGGATCATTGATGGTGATGTATGATGGTTAAATTGTCTTTTTTAAAACCTTTAAGTGGGACCTTGCAAAAAGGAAGGCGTGAATCTGGGAATGAGATGGAGGACTATTAACAGTTTAACACTATCCATTGATCATTATTTTTTTTTACTCCAATAAGCAAGACAATAATACACCGTACTTTGCTTCTGGTGGGCTCTTTACAAAATGTATTTACCTTCCTGATTTTGTTGCTGCCGGTAGCCCGGTACCACTTATTGCTTATATTCAGATAAAGTAAGATAGAGTTGACGATACTAGAAAAAAGTTCAAATTAGGATCGAAGGCAAGTACACAATCGCTACCACAGTTCTAGATGTATCCATTCTATGCAAATATGCAATATTCTTCATCTGCCGAACCCTATAAGACGCTAAGGTAGGGATGAATTTGGTCAGGAACAGGATCGGACAAAAGCCACCTGGTTTTGAACGGGGGCCGAAAAATATGATTATGACCAGGTCTGAAACTAGACTGGTGGGATTGTGAGAAAGAGGTCCCGGTTCATGGCCTCCATTTTTTAAACTTGGACCAGAGCGGAATCAATTTTTTTATTTTTGCTCTTAAATCATTGGAAAACATTTTAATAAGGGAGAACTCATTTAAAAGTTTAAAAGATGTGTAATTGTAAATGGGGTGGAAAGGGCAAATAGAGAATCTAAAAGTGTACTAAAAAAATAAAAACATCGGGACCAGACTGAGTTGGGACTGGAACTAAAACTGGTTGGAGATCGGAACCGGTTGGGAATCAGAAATAGAGATACCGGTATTGATCGTCCATATATTCTTATAAAGAGCAGCTGATTTGAGACCGAAATCAGCTCGGATCGGGACTGAGTCCATGCCTGCCCTACCACCTAATCGGTCAATCCACATCACAATTCATAATGGTTCATTTGTTTTCTCGTCCAAGTACAATGTGATGAAAAAGTTAAAGTTAGAATGATTGGTAAACATGATTTTTTATGTAATATTGTATTGAAAGTATAGAAACACCCCTATCTCATTTACTCAAATTTCCAAGCATACCCAGGCTCCAGCGCCAAGCTTACCTATGCCCTGAGATTACCAACACACTGCCGTAGCAAACTATAAGTCCTAAAATCTAATCGGATACAAGCTTCATCACATGTGAATTCCCAGAATAGTCAAAATCGCTGCCTAACCTGGGCCAAACAAAATTATCTTGAATCCTCGACGAATGTCGCTTGTACGGTTTGTACCTAAGAACTCTGCTCACCATGAATGTCTGAAAACGCTAAATTTAATTGTTCTAAGCTAAAAGTTTAAAGCGCTTTTTTAAGCATTTACAAACACTCCCCTATAACTACTACGGAGTATGATATTTAATTTTAATAGATACAATTACCAGTTAAATATTTAAAAAGTAAATTTTGCTTCTGATGAAAAGAGTGGTTTAGTTTGTGTACATCATTTTACCTAAAATAAATGTCATATTTCTATTTTTAAATAATATAATTCACAACATTTCACTTTGTTATAGTCAAATGTGTACTGCAATTTTTTATCTTTTTAACCAATTTATTAATAATTGTGATGGTAATATTTATTTTTAATTATTTTTTCAACGGTTATCTAAATTGGTCGTATCAAACTTTTTTGTTACTCGTCCAGTAAATTTAATGCAAAAAAATCTCTGGGAAACTAGTGAGGCATATTTATAACTATAACCAAAAATGCAAGTTTTTCCTTAAATGCATATTACTTCTAACATCAGTTCTTGTGTCTATCAAATACAAACAATAATGACGGAGTCGTCTAGTCTATACAAGTTCCTTGATATTCTGCATTTCTGCTTGTAACGAACAACTAAGTATAACAGCTTTTCCAAAAAGCAGGCACCATGAGAATTCACAGCTAATCATGCTTTGTATAGAACGCCAACCAATTCCATCAAACCGAATTTACACAGAACTAGAAACAATTTTCTCAAACTGAAGATCAACACTCCAACTACGAGATTTGCACATCACCGAAGATCAATGACATCGAAGTTCAATGTAGAGCTCATATAAACATCTGTACAATTGTTATAAATTGGGCTACCATCAGCAGGGGGGTCATGGGCATGAAAGCCTCGTCTAGGGCATTGCCTGATAACTGTCATACCACCAGGATTTGTCAACCTGAAAATTCCATGAGATCTGCACACATAAACAAAACCACGATGTTAGGCAACTAAATGGATTAGCAGTAACAAAAATATTAATGCACATGTCAATGCTAAAGCACAAGAGTTGTTTTGTGGCAAGGTCTACTACAATTTACAAATCCTGTGCTTATTGCTCAAGAGATGTGTGTCATAGTGCCATGGTTTGATATGTGGAACATAGATCCTGTCTTAAAGCTTGACAAGGCCATGTAGCTTAGACCTGTGATAAGGTGACCTGGTTTTTCCTCCTACAGATTATACGGCATATGGGATTTTCTTATATGGACACAGGGCCACTATCTGGTACCAGTGATAATTAATGGTCTGGATGGTTGTCTATTCCACCTGGGGGCTACAATGATAGGCAGTGCTATTCACCTTGATGCATCTTTTGGTGCCATGACAATAGCAACAGCTTCAGGTAACATTATCTGCAAAACCAATATGCAATGGGAAAAAATGACTAACAATAAAGGTTTTGGAGGGAAAGTATCACCATAACAACAACATTACTCTAGTGCCGCAAAGGCTCCCACCATTAAAGAAACAAAATATCTTTTAAACTACAGTTAACTGAAGTACTTTAACTCAGAGTAAAATCTCCAAAATGGACATGACCTATTAATTGTAAAAATGCAGTTCAATATTACATTTTATTCTTTTCCTTTTTACCCAATGCTGCTGCGCACTAAGTAAAATTTCAAGTAATCAAAGAGAGCACAGACCTGATAAGAGTATTGGGTGTGCACATCAATTGATGACATGAAACATGATTGTGTTGGATGTGTCTGCAAATTGAAACAAAATAGATGCTTAGATCATTTGCAATTCCAGTGCACAGGTTGTCAGTGTTATTGTTACACGTGAGACAAACTTACATGAATCCAACCAAGGGAAAAAAGTGATCTCTTATCCTGCACTTCAAAGATTTCCTCCTCATTTGTAGCTTGACACTGTAGAAACATGATAATAATTCCTGAACCAGATGCAACGCAATACAAAATGAAAGAATAGAAGAGCAGAAATATGACTTACTGAATCTGATGTTGATTCTTGTTTAGGGATGATAAGAGCCGTGATATAGAAGATCCGGTTCTTCTGCAAGAAACAATAATGTTGATGATAATTGTATCAATTAAGTAATACAAATATGAAGTGTTAAGGTGATGCACGAACTAGTGATCCCGCAAGAATACCACAGGTCTCCAAATTGTTGTGTGTGTTTGACTTTGCTAGTTTCATGAAAGTATCCATAAGAGCTGTTGACTATACAAGGGAAAAAATGAATTAGTAAGCCAAGCATTTACAGAATACATAATAACAAGAATAGGATTAACTTGAAAATTCAAAAAAAAAAAGTGAAGAGTTTATCTTTCGTATCATGTTTATGCTCGAATATTTTGTTAAGCTAGAACCATATTTTTTCCTTTCAAACGCTTTAACTTAAGAGGAGTGCCGAAATATAGGAATGTACTTACAAAAAAAGTATAAGTTTAGTAATCAATGTTTTAGAAATACACGGTTCTCCCATACTCATTAGGTTCAAAGACTCTCATTCCTATAAAATTCAGGCCCTTATTTATTGCAAAAAAAAAAAAAAAAATCACAAGATACATGTCATGCCCTACTCCACCACTTTTCATAACTGAATTCTTAAAAGGCAATAGTACGGATGGGGGAATGTGGACAAGCTCGTGGACACTTGATAGGTACCCTAGCAAACAACTCAAAGTATGAAAGAAAATAGTACACAACTAATCAAGAATGATGCATAAAGCTTCAGTTTCATTAATGGAGGAATTATACAGGGAGTACAACAGTAAAGAGACAGTTCGGGATGCTCAATCTCCTAGCCCAGACTAACAGAAAACCAGCCTAACTTCCCCTCCCAGCTTACTGCTATTTATTACATTTCCCTTCCAACCTCCCAAAGACACTTCAACTAACTTAACTAACTATATTAGTCAATGTTTAACTGTTTTATTTCTCCTGCAGTAGGCTTTATCAAAAATTCAAAATATTTAATAGCTTGCTTTTTTTATGCCTTTCCTCCACATGCCTATCATCACTTCCTTAGATTATATGCATCACTGCTTTTATGGATCTTTTCCCGAAGTGATATGAATACTGAAACTCTTAAATAATATTGACATTGTTTACCATCCATGAAAAAACAGACCGCAAGGAGAGGCTATTATAATTGGAGGATAAGAAACATGAATTCTATTTTGCTTTATCTTAGTAAGATACTAAGATTACAGCATTCCTAACATACACGTACACTTTTCCGTTTCGGAAACACTTGAGAAACTACTGAAACAAGGCAATGACTGTATGTTATTCTTAGTAAGACTAACACACCTAGAATATGTTATTCTAGGTGTGTTAGAGAGTATGTAATAGGGTATAAGGACTATGTTATGAGCAAGGATAAGGAAATGTTTCTTTGCTACATTTTGTATCTACATTCCCGTGTGGCAAACGTCGATTAGATGGTGAAAAGTTGTCTAACTTTTCATCATCCAATAGATGCTTGCCATGGAGGAATGTAGCAATAAATTGTACCCAAAAATGTAGACATAGCTTTATTTGTATGTTATTAGGCTGCAATTTTCATCAACGTTCAAAATAACTATTCGGTTTACATCCTATTATTGATAGAAAAGCTTTCAAATTAGGCCAAGCCCATTCTAGCTGTGACATGACATATTGAACAATTAAGGATAAGATACCACTAAAAAGTTGACTACGAAAATGAGAAAACCTACAATGTGCAATTGCAGAGGATCTTCAACACAGACTAAATTATTGGGCAAAGGATTATGCAACCCCCCTTCAACCTCAGGGGCTTCAGGCAATGTTTTTGGGATCAAATCATGTACTTCTGCAAGAACTGGGAGTGGGGATGGTTGTTGAAGTACTTGTGGTGATGCAGTCAAATCTTGTCCTTCTGGAAGAACAACAAGTGGAGACGGCTGTAGGGTAACTTCTTTCTTTACAGAACTTTCTTCTGTTTCAAAAGATATCAATGATGGGTATTCCTTAACCTGAGGCACTTGGTTGTCATTATTTGGAACCATCGACTTTGGCTTCAGTCTTTCCAAATAAGTGTTGCCAAATTTCCCAACTAAAGCTCCATCTCCCTTGACCTGTTGGAAGTCATTGACTCTTGATGTAACAAAAAACAAAAACAAAATCACAAACAAACATAAAAAGACTGAAAGTTAAGATTAACATAAGCCAAGCATGGTCAAGCAAAATAAACTCATATTAAGGAGTTCAACAGAATCAAATTACAAGTACCATGCAGTGTATTGATTACTTAGAAAAAAAGTCAGGACATAGAATATAGTAGCCGAACCTTGGGATCTCAACAGGTGTGAGGTCTACATTAGTAGGATATGTGACCTACAGTTTGAAGTAAAAAGTCAGTCATTATCATTTAAAATAAATAAGGGATGTGGAAATCCTTCATACCCCCATATTGGTAGGAGGTGGCTGCCATTGCCCATGAAGACCATTTGGGCCCAAAATAGAATGTCTGGTCAGACTTTCTTCCTTCGGTCGGGTCAAACTTAGTGATCTACCAAGAAAAAAGTCAACAAAAAGCAATAAAGATGAAGGTTTCATATTTTCAAGGATTTTTTACAAAAATATTACTAAAAAAACTTGTTTTCATAAATATGAAAACAAGTTTTCATATTATAGTGTAGTGTCATAGTAACTTAAGTTTAACAATTGTACATAGGTTACTATGATTTCATTACTACTCTAGTCACTAATCACATTTTTGAAAACAGTTTTCATTTTAGTCATAAACATGTAATTATTTCTATTTTTCAATGAGCATGAAATATACATATGTTCAGCTTTAGCTGTAACAGTAAAATTTGTATACACAACACATTTGCTCATTTTAGATGCTGAGTTAGTTCTGCCCTGAAAATTCTTTGATAACCCACAATTAATAGCATCACCGTAATTCATAATATAGTGATACATAGAAGAAAAACATACAAGAAAGATAGGTCTTACGACCAGTCTGACTTGAACTTCCTATAGTAAATGAGGTATATACAGCAAAATGGAAAACTTTGAACTAAGTATCATTACTCAGTCATCCTTGAAACTGAAATTAACGCAATGCAAACTTTTAGGAGGACTCAAGAATTGTGAGAATACATTGAGAACACATGGTGACATGGCCCAGGTCTAGCAGTTCATAAGAGGAATTGTTCATTACAGAAACTTACAATCTGTGAAACCGTTCACCTCCCGTCTTGGCAAGTGTTTGCTTTTGAGACCTTGGACCCTGGTGGAGGTATTCTCGAGTTGAAGATGAAGGTGCCTGATAAAATGCACATTTGTAGGAATGTTTGTTCAATTGCTTCATCAGAAAAACAGCTATAGATGTCATTTAAAACAAAGTAAATACAGATCAGTTGACTCAAAATTGCAGTATAAATAATGAAAACAACAATAAAAATATATTTCAAAATATGCATATCTGAAAGATGTAACGATCAAGTATGAGATTGATCGGTGGCTTATAAGCTAGGTGTCCCCTCCTCCTATTGATTAGCTAGTCTTTTGGGTGTGAGTTCTACATTTGGGCCTATGACCTTGGAATGGGCCTAGTATGGGCTAGGACCGTATCAATTGGTATCAAAGCCATCCCAATCTTCCTTATCCCAACACTCGGAGTAGTCCGAGTAGTGGCTTATGGAGTGGTGGCTTGGGCCCTGGATGCCAACCGTGACCAACATACATGTGACCAATGTGGACGTTAGCTTTTCAAAGCGTGGGGTGTTGATCGGTATGGGATTGATCGGTGGCTTATAAGCTAGGTGACCCCTCCTTCTATTGGCTAGTCTTTTGGGAGTGAGTTCTAATCTAGGCTTATGGCCTTGGTAATTGGTATAGGCCTAGTATGGGCTAGGACCATATAAAAAGATCTTAGGGTTATGTGTTGGATCTTGATGTGCAAACCTACGCATAAAAAGAACCATGACAATGTCCACCCAAATTTGCTATTAGTACAGATATATTGCTAGTTATTAGTAAAAGCTCAATCCAACTGTTTGAGGCTTGGTGGCATATGCCTATAGCAACTATCTCAAGCCATCAGTGTCTCATAATATGTGCCACACAAATGATAAATATTTATGACAATGAGAAGAGAAAACAAAGTGAGACTTGGTAAAATAGGGCACAGGGAGTATTAATCATAATAAAAACCAGAGTTTGTGTGTAAACATGACATATACCTTGGTTCCACAAGTACTGAAATTCTGTTTCTTGACAAGATGATGATCTTGTGGATGACCAAGAAGATTACCCTGATGATAATTTCCCCACTTATTTGGTTGATGTGTACTTCTTCTGCTCAGTTCTTCAATTTTCTTCTGGACAGCAGGCTTCAGATCCTCAAGCTCCGCAACTGCATTTAATAATTTCTGCAAAAGATTTATTGGAGTAGTCAGAATTGACATGGACAATGCAGCCCAGGTAGATATGTGAGAACAATATTTGTCCACCTTTCTTAGATAAATTCTGTTGCTTTGTGGAGATAATCTGTAATCTCGGTGGCATGGTATCGTCTCAGAGACCAAGCTAAAATGGAAACACATATGAAAATCTTAAAGGTATTAATGGAACTTTATCACATAACACAAATCAAAAGCAATGTAATCGTCAAAAACACCAGTAACTAACTATATCATCCAGATAACTGAAAATAAACCAACTGAACAAGATATATAGGAAATATGGACTTCACCTTGAGAACCTGAGCAGCATAACATATAAATCTATTATATTACCCTCTTCTCGAAAAATGTCAGCCTAACCAAATAGACACCAAAGTCAAATCAAAAGTGGTTAGTCATTATGTAAAAATACAGAATGAGACATGTTAAATGACTTCAAACGATATAGAAGATCAGAAATTTATAAAGTTCATTGAACAGAAACAATCTCTGAGAGGATGAAAAAGGGAAACATATGATGGAATATTAGTAAATTGCTGAATACCCCAGCCTAAACAACTGGAATTGACAAATATGTCTCCTGACGGGAAGATCCAAATAATGTGTGAAGAATGGGGGTAGAAGCCACTACTATTAATATTCAAGCATGTCAAGTGCCAGTACTTATCAGAACCATAAATTAGTCTTCGTGCAAACAGGAAGAGTCAATAGTGTATGAAGACAAACGGGGTGGGGTGGGGGTGGAAGCCACTATTCTTAACATTTTATCCTAGGCAGAGGAAACACAAATTGGTACTATGAACTAGTATTCTACTGACTGCAAGCATAAAGTAATCATCAGCCCTGCTGATATACCAAATAAGGAGGATGGCAAGCTTATAATCATAAATTAATAAGTGATTTCCTATTTATTGGATTAAATGATATACTATCATTTACAAGATAAGCCACCGGATCTGACCAAGAATATTAAGCCATGCTACAATCAGACAATAAAAAGTAATGGGCACACTGCAGCAATGTGACCACTGTTAGATCAAAGATGGTTGAGCACTTGAGCCCATGTATAAGGCAATGGGGGTGGCTGCTACCAATAAAGTTTTGGTGGTCCATAGACATAATTAATTAATAGCCTAAGGCCCTAAACTATTTCTCTAATATAAAATAGTATCTTTTGTTCCCCGGTAGTAAAAAAGTCTACATGAAAAGAAGCTAATAGACTCGTACCCTATTCGCCATCTCTCCACTATCCAGGTGGCCCATCTCTTTTTTCCAACATACTCAAAATCATACAGGCTCTAAACGTGCAAGAGTGCAAAGGTTCGATCTTCCTAGTGCTGAAACAGCAATTCTGGAGCAATCTCGAATGGTCATCCTAGACCTTAGTTGCTCTTCATTTTTACCTTTAAACTCTAAATTGGCTCCAAGCCCCCAACTCCAGCCCATAATATTTTAATATTAAGTTCTTCAATATTTATTAAATATCCATTTAGTTGATTACAATGGCGTAGATTTACCATACACAGAAACATATATGACTACGTGTAAATGGCATTCAGTTATGTGATTCACTACCAATATTCTTTTTAATTTTTAATCAGACCTTTCTGTTAAGATTTATTAGCTCCGTTTTGTCACTTGTATGTAGAAAGGAAAAAAGTACTTAGTTTTAGTTAGTTTAACTGATTACTCATTTTTACCTGCTTCCATTTAATTGTTATCTAATACAGATTTAGACAGTGTTTATGCATTTTTGTTACAAACAACGACATTACCCCAGTGCGCAAAGGATCCCACCTACGGTGGGGTAAGGGGAGATAGGATGTACGCAGCCCTACCCCTGTACTAAGTCACATTGAGGCTGTTTCCAGGTGACCAGTGATGATAATCGCTTCGAAAATTGCATGAACTGACTGATGCTTCATAACAAAGAAGCACATACAGTTTAGTGAGCCATTTTGATTTATTCCATTATATTCCCAAGCCAAAAAATAGTGAGTCTTTGGCTCCCCTCAGTGACTTACTAATGAATGTTCAGAAATAGTAACTATAGGTTTATAGCAGTGCAATCATCAACAAAAAAATTATAAGCATCAGAATTATAAACCACACAAAAACAAATACTACGTAGCATACAATGGTACTGTATAATTTACAGTTCGAAATTTTATTAAAAAAAACTAAAAAAAAACTACTCCATATCGTTTATCCAGAATAAGCCCGGCTGTCCATGGTCCCATCACGAATCTTTACAGAAAGTGGAAACCTAATACTGGCTAATGGAATATATGTGAAAACAATAAACTACGTAATATTTAAAATAAGGAGAGAACCTGTCTGAGGACATTGTCAGCAAGACGAAAATAAACACGGAGGCGGAGATGGTGATCGACATCAAGCTTCTTAGTGGACGACTCGATATTGACGCTTCCCGACGAATAAGACGACCTAGTAATCATTTCCGGTCAGCTAAAAATTGCACTGATGATATATTCTTTTACCAACATCCATACAGTCGGTTCAGCGGCGGCGGCGATCCGTATCAGATGGATTTCCCGGTCGCGCAGTGCCTATAAAGAGATAGCCATGGCAAAGGCTTCATACCAATTCGAATACTCAATAAATAATTAAGAACATTCAACCCTTAACCAGTGGAATCGCCCAGGCAAAGGCTAAAAAATGTTACATTTGAAATAGCAAATGTTACATTTGAATGGCTGTTTGAAACTGATTCTGCTTTTTTTTTTTTTTTCCAAGCAGAAGCAGAATCAGTTTTCCGAAACTGGTTTCCCTCAGTTTCAAAAAAAAAAAATGATTCTATGAGTAAATTAGAACAACAGAATCACTTCTGCATTTTTACCCAAACACTCCAACTTCTGCTTCAGAGGGCAGAATCAGTTTTAAGAATCAGATCCAAACACCCCTAAATTAATGGAAATCAATTACTACGTATTATTTTTCGAAAGAAAATGGAAATCAAACTTGTTCACTCCAAAATAACTTATTTTAAAATTACTACGTATTAACTTATTTTATCTCAAATTATCATAAAATTCATAAGTGTATCATATTTTTTTTATTTATCAAAATATGGCTCAAACATCATCTTTTTAAACAATCAATGTTTTTTTGTTTGTTTTTTCAAAATTTCACATTTTATCAATACCAATAATATATACTCGTAAGTAATACACATTTTTAAACTTAAAACTAGAAATATAAATATGACTTTCTTCTTAAATTCTACTAATTCATCTATTGAAAGTGTAATTGTGAGAAAAATTGATTTTTGAATCTTTTTATTAATAAAAGTGAAAGTTTGTGATAGATTTGTCAGTTTGATGATAGTTGAAGATATATATTTAGCTAATAATCCAAATATACATCACCCCACCCTAATTTCTCGCCATGTGGCAATGCAATTGCTTACAGTTTTGCAATTGTTTCAACTTTTTTATTTTTAATCCATTTAAAAAAGTAGGCTAAATGTCAAATAGGTCCATGTACTGGTCGTGTAAACTCAATTCAGTCCCTGAATTAAAAAAGTCAAATTCACACCCTGAATCGGCAAGAAAAAAGTGCAAATTTCATTCTTTAAGGTTAAAGAAGCGGTAAAACCGGTCCAAATCGCATCCCTAAACAATTAAAAATGTCAAAAAAAAATCGAAATAAAAAAGAGAAACAATAAAAAAATTAGCAGTTGTTTACCCGTAACAAATGAAATTTGAACCGTTTTTGTCGGTTTGGGGTGTGAATTGAACCTTTTTTATTTCAAGAACTGAATTGAGCTTACACGACCGGTACATGGGTCTATTCAACCCTTTAGCAAAAAAGATATACATCATTTTTTTATATATTTTTAAGATCTTTAATGTCATACCAATATTTCATATGATTTAAAAAAAAATCCAATAGATGTTTGGCATGCAAAATATTTTTTCCCAAATTTTTATGCATATATTATTGATGCAATTGAATAAATCATGAAAAATAACTCATATTTTTTTATAAAAATTTGGACCACGAATATAAAATGTTAACAATTTTAAGAAAAAATTAAATGGTATGCCAAATGGCAACCAAAGAGGCTAGGGTTGATGTTCATTCTCTTTAGAGGGGTGAACAAAATATGACTCTTCTAAATGAGATAATTTCTTGAAGAAATGGTTCAGACTTTAGAGTACGGTTTGCACAAGAGACAATGAAACTCCCAAGAATATAATATTCCATTCATCCCTTAAAACTTGACTAAATTTGACTCACACGAGAATTAATAAAGTGAAAATAATTTGATTGGAGTTGGTGCAGAGGAGATAGAATTGTCTGAAACTATAATCTTTACTTAAAAAAGAAAGTGTCAAACTTAGTGAGACAACAAAAAAGTTTTAAGAGATGGAGGGAGTAAATCAAAATTAAAATACAATGAAAAATGTCAAAAAAAAAAGAAAAATTACCTAGATCCCAGACAAAAAAACAAAAGAATAATAGGAAAAGTTACATAGTCTTAAATAGTTAATCTATTTTTATTAATAAATGAATATATAAAAAACCTTGACGATTAATTATTCATCTCGTCAAATATAAATTGTTAATATATTGCAAAATAAAAGAATTTACGTTTTATTATACATAAGCGCACACACATATATATTTAGGTAAATGGATATTTGTGTATATTTTAAACAAGAGTACTCTTCTCATCAGGCCGGCCTGACGGGCTGCCCCGTCCGGCCGAGCCCGTTTGGGCATCTTCCCGGTGGAATTTTTTGATGAAATTTTTTGAGCATGTTCCTCATCAAGTCTAGTTTGTCCATACCAAATTTCAGCTCAAAATTCGATCGGGAAGGTCCTCAAATGATTTTTGCAAGTTAACTGGTCCGGAATATGTATTTTCCGGACCAGTTAACTTGCAAAAATCATTTGACGACCTTCCCGATCGAATTTTGAGCTGAAATTTGGTATGGACAAACTAGACTTGATGAGGAACATGCTCAAAAAATTTCATCAAAAAATTCCACCGGGAAGGTGCCCAAACGGGCTCGGCCGGACGGGGCAGCCCGTCAGGCCGGCCTGATGAGATGATTTCTCTTTTAAACAATATATAACAATATATCTATACTTATATAATGAGCTGGCGTGTTGGAACGTGTCAATACTATTACATGGACCGACGCCATTGTATGCACGGGGTGGAGCGAACCTGCCTCGTTTGCAAGACGGGGCAAGACAGATCTGTCTCAAATGTCTCGAAACAAGGTCGATCCTTGTGGGTTGGATCTTTTTGCGTGCCTAGTAGTATTATTGACCCGTGTTTTGAAGTTTTTACTTGGACTGGAATTTTCTGGTTTGAAGTGGTCTGGTCTGGTATGGTAATGTGTGGTATCTGTGTATTTTATCTTCAAGTTAAGCGTGCTTGTATGAGAGTAATTTTGGGATGGGTGACCCCCTAAGAAGTTTATCAGTGTGTTGATCCATTGGATATCTAGGATATGATTGAGGTTGAATTGACTTATGGACGCAACGGGGACTTTGCGGTTTTAAGTGGCGGTGATTCTAATACTCGGTCTTAATTTAAAAGAATTAATAACACTACTCATACCAATAAGATGCATCACCTTTTAAGGGAGCTTATCAGCTAAGAACTCGAAGTTAAGCTAGTGTGCTTGCACGAGAGTAGTTTTGGGATGAGTGATCCCAAAATTACAGTCTTCGCTTATAGCAGCTGCACTTTTTTTCATCTTTCACTTTATCTTTCATTTCTATCTTCTTATTTCTTACACTATTATAAATATATATATATATATATATATATATATATTTTTTGCTTTTATGTATTTATTATAGATAAATATATTTTCGTTGCTTTTATGTTTTTATTATTAATAAAAAATATGATTACCTTATGAAACTATGGTAAGGGTAAAATAGAAAGAGAGAGATTGTATAACGGGGGGAGAGAGTATATCTTACTCCTAATTTAGAGTTATAAACAATATAGTTCTATTTTGCGTTTACGGGTTGTTCTTAATTGTGCAATTTTCCCATTTTAAATACAACTCTAGCGTGTGTCATATGCACATCAAGGGGTCATTTAGTAACACATGAATTGGCCGGATCAGCATCAGAATGTGTCGAAATTGATGAAATGCTTAGTAAACCGATTGAATTGGTTAAGTTTGTGGCATTACGAAAAAATATATACAGTATTTAAAATATATTTTATTAATTAGTTATATATATATGATAAAATAGTTATAATGGCCATTTATAGTTACTTCAACTAATTCAATTAAAAATGTAACTTTAACCTCGCTTACTTCGATTATTACATGATTTAGCGCGAGAAATTAAAATGTACATATTTGATAAAAAAAAGTTGATTAGAATTTAAAGATATTGGTATTCGTTTGGGTCTTGCTCATTACATAATCGCTTCACCATGATGTTTTTCATTCCATGGTTAGTGGCATGTCCCTTGTGAATTCACAAGTTAAATATTTTCGATTGATCTAACGCTGCAATAACTATTCCAAAGAGATCCCATTCAATCGCAATTTTTCAATGAAAACGAACTTAATTATGATTTAACTCAGAACAATACTACATTAGTATAACATCATTTGCAATAACATAGAAATCCTTTGCAATATATGCAATTCAAATTGCGAGAAAATTTCAATTGCATTGTCTCGAAACGAAACACTTGCATTGCTAGATTACCTATGGAAAATGCAATATAGTCAAATTGTTTCAAACATTACGATGTAAAAACATGTTTCACTTTACATTTAATTACATTGCAAAAGAATGAATATGTAAGCAATAGAATTGAACAAAATTTGTTGCAAACCCATATTTGCTTAAGAAATTCAACATTTGAAACAAACTTATTTGTTATAATTCGACACTTTTCTTATAGTGATCGCATGCCCCTCAATAAATTAAAGTTGAATGATTTAACTTCCTCACGAAGTCATATAATAATAACCTTGCTAGGGTAGGAACTAGAATTGTGTGTGGAAAGATCCATTGGAATAAGGCGGTCAGGGATGGAACTGTAATTTATAGGGTGTTTAGAACCGAGGCTTATAAAGACAATTATGAAAATCGTAGTCAGACATTGGGGGGCATATTCAAGTGTATTAATATTACACTTGAAATTTATGCAAGAAAATTACTTCAAGTAATTTACTTGAAGTAAATTACTTCAGGTAGCACAATTTCATGGTCTTTGAAAACTAAAAGTAACTATATAACGTTTTTACTCTTATTTGCTAATTGGATGGCACATATTCTTGCAAGGACACCTTTGTTTGGGCGGAGGGTGATATTATTTTTGATATATCGCAAGATTGTATTGTAAGTCAATTAGCAAATGATGTGTTAATTTAATAAAATTGGTGCTTTTTTAGTAAAAAAAAAAACGATTTTACTCTTATTACGAAATTTCTCTCTTAAATTTGTACTTTTACTTAGGTTTTATGTAGTGTGTTCACATTTGAAACAAAAGTGACTATATAGTAACAATAGGTTCACCACAAATATAATCACTCATATTTATATTTATTATATTTATATTTATATACATGTTCATGTTCGTGTTCGTGTCCACGTCCATGTCCATGTCCAAGTCCATATTTATATTTATATTTATATTTATATTTATATTTATATTTATATTTATATTTATATTTATATTTATATTTATATTTATATTTATATTTATATTTATATTTATATTTATATTTATATTTATATTTATATTTATATTTATATTTATATTTATATTTAAATTTATATTTATATTTATATTTATATTTATATTTATATTTATATTTATATTTATATTTATATTTATATTTATATTTATATTTATATTTATATTTATATTTATATTTATATTTATACTTATACTTATATTTTTTATGCTTGTATTTATATTTATCCTGTATTCATATTCATATTCAAATTTAAAAAAGATATTGAAAAACTTCTCAGCATTAGTTCTAATGTTCTATGAAGCATGTAGAACTCTAGAAAGTACATTTTTTAGTTTTACTCGTGCACTCTTTCAATATTTTCTACCATGAAGATGCACAAATAGTTTCAAAAAAGCATATCCCAACACTTCTCAATATACCATGGAGTATCATCACTTATATACATAACCTTACACCAATTAAATGCCACCTAAATTTATACTTGATCAGATAATAATCTGCATTATAATATTGTATATACACACTAACACTCACATAATAAGAAAAAGTAAGGATGAATTTATTTTTCTGGCTATATTGGTTGAAGTTACTGTAGAGAGTCATTTTAATGATTTTTCATGTTATTAATAAATATTTTAAATATTTTTTTCATAAATCATGAAAATCATCAAATCCAACCAATTTAGCCAGAACTTCATAAATTATAGCATAATCAGGCGATTAAATCGATTTCAATGTTACCAAACGAGCTCAAAGTTTTAAAAGAAAGGTGTAGCACATGATTTTGTACACATCCCTATTTTGTGTATGCAAACAAACTCATTTAAATGCAAAATCAAAAAATCACATAAATGAAAAAAAAAAACAATTAACTGATAAGAGTGAAAATTGAAGGTGTCGAGCGGACTTTAATAATAATAATAATAACAATAACAATAATCATAACAATAATAATAAAAATAACAACAACAACAATAATAATAAACTCGTAATAGAACATTTGGAGAACCCAATTATCCAGAACCACATTGAGATATAGAGCTACTAGTACACGCCTTATAGGGAGTATATATTAGAATATGGGTAAATATAAATATGTACAAGAAATGGGTGAAAAAATTGTGCTAATAAAAAGAGAAGCGAGAATAAAATCATGGGGCGAAAGCAATACTCCGTATATAAGGATGGGCAAAACTCTACACTACATTTCAATATATCCGCATGACAGAAAAGCACTCAAAATTTGAATATTTTTTATCTTTAATTAGATGAACCATATATAGAGTAGAAATAGGTTAATATAGCCAAAGCATGAGTAAGATGATAGATTAATCTAGCATCGATTTTGTAGCTCAACAATATAATAATATCTATTGTGTCATTATAATACCAATAAATGCTGCGTAAAATAAAATGTTCAATAGCTACAATACGCTTATTGTAACACCAGTCAGATGTGACATACTAACAAATGTTGCATTTGATATATTGTAACAGTTTTTGCACCTATTACAACATTTTGCATAGCTACAAAAGCTATATTTTGTTATAGTGCATTAGACCTAGGTGTACGATATATTTTGTAGGGTTGATCATGAACTAGAATGCAACCCATTTTTTTTAACCTGATCCAAACTTATACGTACGCACGTAGTATAAGTTATTACATTGAGTCGCGTTCAAATAACATCGGATTTAGTTATGGGCTAGATATCAGGTTTATTAGAAAAATGCTCAATCTAACAAATGCTGCATTTGATATATTATAACAGTTTTTGCACCTATTACAACATTTTGTATAGCTACAAATGCTATATTTTGTTATAGTGCATAAGACCTGGGTGTACGGTATATTTTGTAGGGTTGATCATGAACTAGACTATAACCCATTTTTTTCCGAGCTTGACCGAAACTTATACTACATACGTACGTAGTAGTAGTAGTAGTAGTAGTAGTAGTAGTAGTAGTAGTAGTAGTAGTAGTAGTAGTAGTAGTAGTAGTAGTAGTAGTAGTATAAGTTATTACGTTGAGTCGCGTTCAAATAACATCTGATTTAGTTATGGGCTAGATATCAGGTTTATTAGAAAAAAGCTCAATCTAACCAGAGACTTGAACTTTTGAATATATATCATAATTAAACATTCTTCCAAAAAGAATCATAATTAAACATGTCATCTCTTGAATATACTTCGTACATCATAATTAATTTATTTTCAGTCATCTAAAAAAACATCGAAAATTTAATGTAAGGTAATAAGTACTCCGTACTACTTTATCATTCCATATGCACATCAACATTGATCCAATTTATGGGAGAGATGGAAGTCTAGTATATTTATGAAAATCTTAGAAAGTCTGACTGACTATATAGTTTTATTGAAAATTATTTATAATATAAAATAGTATGAAAATGATCTTTGGTAAAAGTATTTTTATAAAATTCATAATTTTCATAATTATACTATGTATTAATCAAAACCATATTTCAATGACAATGTTTTAAGGGACATATATGTAGACATTGTCTCATTTTGTGAACATTTTGGTACACGACCCTATTTTGTGTGTCTACAAATTCATGCAAATGCAAAATTTTGAAAGGTTGCTGTGTGCACAAACAATTTTGAACGCGTACACCTGAGTGTACAAGACACGGGAGTGTACAAGAAGAAACATTTCATTAAAAAATCATTCCTAATAGATTTTGATAACGGAGAAAAGGTTCAACAAATGAAAAAGAAAAAAATCCAAGTAATACTCATCATATAATCGTTATTATTATACACTTTAGACGATGATGACGGTGGCTTAGCTTGAGCTTGAGCTACTGCAAAATAAAAAAAAATAAAAAAAAAGAATGGTTAGTCCGACGTTATGATTACCTCATCCAGCCATTCCCGATCTTCTGTGTTGAGCTCTGCCATTCTGTCGTTAAAATCTGGCTGCGGCAAAAAACAATCCTCTAAGTCTATGATCATCTCATCCAAAAACCCATCACTGCTACTGGAACCAAGCTTCTCCCCAGACTTTAAATTAGTGAAACAATGGCTGAAATCATCAAACTTCATATGAACCGCCGCCTGTTCTTCACTGATGCAGCTCTGATACGCCGCTTCCCCTGAAACCTCCTCGAATCCTAAGCTGCTCAAGTCATTCCAGTTCCTGGCTTTTTCCTCCAAGTCCTCAAGAATGGTCAGTTCTTCGCTCACGCCAATCATTCCAGTCCCTGGCATTGGGTCATCAATCTCTTGGCCATTGGGCGCCGCCTGCAGTTGCGGCGGAGGCGGGGGCAGGGATGGGTCTAGGACAGAGGACGGGGAGGTTGAAAAGGTGGAATCTTTGCACTTTCCTGAACTGAGAAGTCTTTCGATTTCAACCTTGCGGGTGGCGTAAGCAATGGCAGCTTCTTCGGCGCTGACGAAAGTGCCCAGCCATTCTCTCTTCCCCTTAATGGGGTCTCTAATCTCCGCCGCAAACCTCCCCCACGGCCTCCGCCGGACGCCTTTCGGAAAAGGCCGTCCTTTAACTGATTTTTTATGAAGAGGGGCGATCGGAATGATCACTTCCTTGACTACGCGCTTAATCCGCCTCTGGGTGTATAAATTGTCATCTTCCTCGTCAGAATCTGTGGCATCAGGATCATCGTACATGATCTTAACCTTTCGCACCGAACGTAAATCACATTTTCCAGAATTCCCATTCAAAGCTCTGTTACTCGACTTCATACTGAATCCGTTTGAAATTTTGAAAACCCCCAACGGGTCGGAAACCCCTTCAGCAATAAACTTACTAAACCCCTCTTCTTAAACCCCTTTTCTTAGACCTCTTCAAATCATATGAGAACCAGACGCTCCTTCGATCAGGGATTGAAGATGCTTCCCCAGTGTTTGTGAAACAGGTTCAAGAATATTCTCCTATGCATCCCAAAACTGGCAAAACACCAGAATCACAAATCTGGGTACAAAAAGTTGGGAACTAAATCAATTCAAGAATATACGATCATCACTCGAAAAGTTGGGCATTAAAAAAGTTCAAATCTATTGAGCTAAAAAGAATGATAAAAATCGTTCCTTTTCCCATCTTTCAATACATTGGATGTGAGCAATAGACAGATCGTACATACCTTCTTTAATCTTTATGAGTAAGAACACCGGTCTGACTTGAAGATGAGAATGGATGAACGAGAAAAGGAGAGGAATTTGTTTTCTTGGGAACGGGAAGAAGAGTTATGATCCCAGTAGACTTCTAAGCAATGTAGAGTTGTTAATAATATGGAAAGGAGCCAACGCAGGGGGGAATTCGCGTAGGATATAGAGAATTTAGAAAATATCGAAATTGATCTTATTTCCTAAAATGCTCCTTGAAAATTTGTAATATGAGGCGATATTTTTGTTATTTCCGTGAGGGGGAAATTTCACCCCGCTGGTTCGATTCTTGACTTCCTCCATAGGTTTCAAAAGACTTAAACTAATGGCGGGAAACTATTGTGAAAAGTAGGAGTGAGCATAAAAATTGAACTGATCACGTACCGAACCGACCTGTAATGGTATCGAATTAAATATCAAGTATTTAAACGATTCTTAATTAAAACTGTGCCGTTTGAAACGGGTATGAGACATTTTTTAGATTTCAAAGAATTGTAATATACGAGTTCAAACTGTACAAAAGCAATACTCCCTCCGTTTCGCAAAGAAAGTCGCGGTTTGACTTCTCTAGAATTAAGGAAATTAATTGACTTTACTGTAGAAAACACTGTTTGACACTGTTTTGAAGTAGACTTACCATGAATACCCATATGGTCCTTGAAGATTTAAGTCTCCACTTGAATGCATTATATTACCAAATTATGTTATTTAATAAAATATATTTAAAATAAGAAAAAACAAATTAACATGAAAATAACACGTGTCAAATGATTGTGAGCATGACACTTGTCAAAAATTTACTCCAATGTTACTTGCAAATGTATAATATATAGATGTATAATATATAGATATAGATGACAAAGTATTTTAAAATACCATATACAATGTCACAACTTATTTTGAATGACCACCTTTTTCCTTATATATTGAAAATAAAGCGTATCATGTCATGTGTAGTTAATTTACACGCTTTCTATTTTTAGGGACGACATTCATGTATCTTCATGTGGAGTCGTCACTTAGCTTTCTGATTAGATATCAAGAAATTCGGTAGAACTTAGAAGAGTTTCTAGCTACAACACCAATTAAATTCTCACTTTCAAAGACTATTAAGAGGTTTTGATTTGCTAATATTTGTATATTTATATGGACTATGTAGTATGTACATATAAATATTTGTAATATTAAGATGAGATACTAGGACTAAGAAATTTTAGGCCAAAAAATATTCTCATGTACTCATTATTGAGCGTTTTTTTTTTGTCCTTTGAGATCCTAAGAAAGTTAAGGTCGTGAAAAGAGTAAAACATTTCATCCACACAATATATTTAACAAAAAACGTGTTTAAATGACAAAAATTTATATTAATAAATTTATTCTTGATATGCAAATTTTATTCTCCCGTGCATCGCACGGGTAGGATACTAGTAAACTTATAATAACCCCAACTCTACTAAACTGAAATTGAATACGTATTATCCATTAATAACTTTTTACCGAATGCATGAAAATTTTAAAAGTCCCACCCACCACTCTAAAGAGTGCGCAAATCCAAACACAACCAACACCCATTCATTTACTTCGTACTTTCCCATTTTTCATTTAATTCAATTCGTATTTTATTTTTAGTGGGGACATCGTAGTATTGAAAAGAAATAGCCATCTATTTATTTTCTTTCTTGTAGAGCATTACAACAGTTACCTGCGTCAAAGTTTTGTCAGGTAGAAATTAGCACGAAATATATGACTTGTTTTTTTCTACTGGAATACGGAGTATCAGAGTAGTTTGATACTTCAGATCAGATATTAAAATGGAGTTGAATCAGAAGAAGAATATCGAGTCTTATATTTCAAACAAGTACATTTGTTTTAAACGTACGTTTGGATACAGTCCCAAGTCCCAACATTGATCGAAACTTGACCATTTATTTTTGTAGTAAAAATAGGGGCAAGTACAAAAAGTTACTTGTGATTATGTGAGATATTTTTAAATAGAAATATGAAATTCATTTGTTCACAAATAAGACATGTGTTTTCAATTTGAGGGTTTTAGAAAGTGACATGTCACTTTTTAGTCACGTCATCTTCTTTTTTACCTTGGAGAGGAGAGCACATGTCGGTGAAGAAGGCACGCTAAAATAAAATTCTTACTTTCTTTAAATTGTTATGACTTTTTATTTGTATTCTAATTTTATAAAAAAATTATTAAAATTTATAATATTGTTATGACTTTTTATTTGTATTCTAATTTTTATAAAAAAATATTAAAATTTATAATTTTTTATAATCTTCCATATGATATCAATATTGCTTATAAAGTTAATAAAAAAATAAGAAAATTCAATTGTTGAAGATTTTCGGTTCCAAGTGTTAAAGTTAAGATCTCATGATTGAAATATTTCTTTCACATCTTTCAATTTTTTAATTAAAATTAGATATGATTTATGAAGTAAGAACAAAAAATTAAGGGAAAACTGTCAAATAGGTCCTCGAACTTTCATAAAAAGGTCAATTAAGTCCTTCTATAGGAGGTTCTGTCCGGCCGTCGCGATTTGGGGCAGTTCCCGGTAGAATTTTTTGATGAAATATTTTGGGCATATTATTCGCCAAGTCTAGTTTACTCATACCAAATTTCAGCTAAAAATTCAATCAAGAACACATCAAGAACAAATTGCATTCAAGAATTAATTTGAATGTGTTTCCGATTGAATTTTTAGCTGAAATTTGGTATGAATAAACTAGACTTGGTGAATAAGATGCTCAAAAAATTCTACCGGGAACTGCCCCAAATCGCGACGGCCGGACAGAATCTCCTATAGGACTTAGTTGACCTTTTTATGAAAGTTCGAGGACCTATTTGACAGTTTTCCCAAAAATTAATTTTCAAATTTATTTATTTTTACATCAAAATGTTTAATTTTTTTATAATAATTATTATTAACTAAAAATTGATGTATAATAATAAAAGTAAGGCTTTAATTGAATAAATTTTTTAAATTAATATATTGATTGACAATTCTGAATTGCAGAAAAAAAGGAAAGAACAAAGTGAATACATATAAATTGATGGATTTTATCTATTCACGGGTCAAGATTAGGCAATCTTAGCTATGAATTGATCGAGTTAACATCATAGACTTGAGGGGAATTTGATTTATCCACGGAGAAAATTATTGATGAAAAGGGTTGCAATTAGGCTTGACTTGTTAAAAGTGCACGGATTACATCACACTTTGGGCAATGCTAGAACTATTTTACCACTTCTTGCAATACTGCCAATACAAATGTCATTTCTAGCTAAAAAAAAAACTATTCTGAGAAGATGTAAAAAGCATTAGTATGCATGATACGTGCCGCGCACCACGCACTAGTCAAGAATCGAATGTCTTAGCTATACAATATACACTAAAACTACAGAAGTAAAACAACACCTAAACTAGGCTTCTGATTCAAAGCAGTGTTTAGAGGCTTGCCCATCTATACACGAGTTGCAAGTACAGAAAAAGACAGCTACTGGACTATTAGCAACCAGTACGTTACATAACAGGTAGTTGCGCCAAATACAGAAAAACCCTCCAGCTAAAAATGTGTCAAATATTGAATTTCCATGGAAGTGTTGGGGGGACACAACAGGCACTTTGTCTCTCTTAGAGGTCCTGGAAGAACTCTGAAGGTATTGTCGAAGGGCAAAACTTCTTTGCTACAAATTTATACTGTTTACAGATGAAGCCAAATCATTTTAGATTGTTAGAATCCAATCAATCCAGCAGCACATGTTAATACTTCATTCATACTAATAGTAGTGTATATACCTTATGCTGGCTGTACTTTTCTCTAACAGCTGGTAAACTAGAATGGTGGCTATTGCAGCAAAAGCTGTGGAGTGCCATCACACATTCACGTAAATGAGATGGCTGGTACAATGTGTAATGCCGCATCGTAGTGTTCTGAAAATTATCATTTTGAATTGTTATTCAGAATAGATTCCAAACGTCAAATATAGATTATGATATTGACTAATGCTAAACAGTTAGAAAACACATACTTACCCAGGGTTTCTTAGATGGGCAAAGCATGAATCTGGCAAGAAAGATTGCTGAAGCAGCAACAAGTGACGGTGCATAAGAAAGCATGTCATATTCGAGGAGAGATAGCTCTGCAAGGTAGCTGGCCAAGTGGTCCAACTGCAGTGACAAGACCTGAAGTGGAAATTTGCGGGTTATTCCCTAATTCAAATTTTCAAAAAATGCCAGTGGAATATGAAAAGATATGAGGTGAAACCGTAAAAAAATGCTACTTTTTGTTGGGACAAAAGAATATGATGTCAAAGTTTTCAAAAAAGAACACCATGTCAAAGTGCTTATTTTCAGAACTTCTTTTTCCACATTATTTAAACATTGCACCATTTCTAATTTTTTGCATTTTGAAACACAAATTATTTTGCCTCAGTATGTTCTTGCAATTCTTTATAATATATAATAATAATAATAATAATAATAATAATAATAATAATAATAATAATAATAATAATAATAATAATAATAATAATAATAATAATAATAATAGTAAGACTGGAGGAAGTACCTCATTGAATCCTTGTGTGGCACGGACAAACCTCCTGTAATTTGATTTAAATATTTAATTGATTTAGAAATATGTTACTAGTCCAACAAATATTAATATTCATGTATTTATTGCTCTGTAATGTGAGACAGACATTCATTTACCTCAAAAAGCACTTTGTTGTTGGGGCTGTCATTTCAAATTTCAAGTAATTCAAAACTGCAGACTCCATTTGCAACACCTAAACATCAAAGAGTTAAAAAGTTATTATTAGTACCACCTCAAGAGAGAGAACGTGACATAGAAAGAGGAGAGGAAAAGGAATTTACACAAACCTCCTCCTTAAAATATGTGTTATCAGTTATGTAGCAAAACTCTTCTACCTGAGGTGCGCATATCTCCTCATATTTTCTGCAAAATAAAAAAATGTGTGTGATTATAATATTGATAATACTCCTGTTATATTTTACAAGATTCATTCTTCTTGCGTATTCACGTCACTTTTAGATGTCACGCAGACAATTCCGTACACTTAAAAAACTGCTTTTTTTACGAATTGCCTATGTACAAACAAGTATGGTGGCGCTTACAAATACGTGTCCAAATGGCTTGTAGAAACGATTTTTCCATTCCACAAAGTTA